TAACATAACAAGGTAGTTTTTGATGAGGAAATAGTTGTTGACTCAAACGACGCGAGAGTCCGCTGCAGGACTAGTAAAAACGACAATTATAATAGCAGAGCAGGAAATAGACGTATGCGACCGATGTTTCTTCAAATGTAGAAGTGAATCGTACAAAAGTTGGCGGTCTCTTCTTTTCACTCTTCTTCCAGCTGTGATTACTAATGCGTTTGAGTGGGAGGAGGGGGCTTGTCTTAGCGTACGATAACCTGCTTGCTTCAGGAATTGACACCATCTTTTGACGCCACATCACCTTGCGCTTAAGCGTAATCGGCAGTGCATGTTTGTACAGACTAAAACTTGTCTTCCAATCCTACACGGTCTGCGACGGCTGCTAATCAATATGACAAAGTCGCAGAGACATCATCCTCACTCTCTATGATATCTGCAAAGGATAGCTACGAAATCCGAAAGCTTCGATCAGCGAAACCCTGAATAATGGTATGGGTACGAGCACTCTTTTTCTTTTGATTATTTCAGATTTGCTTTACTATAATCTGACCCGTCTTACTGTAATCTGGGAGGACTCCTTGCTTGCTTCAGGTTATCGAGTCAATGTTGGCAAGTCAACAGAAGTACGGAGGGCTGCAAAGGGTGTTAACGATATGCAGTCAGATTATCTGACAGTTAACAACATCGAAACATGTTCGTGCGCCAGAATATGAAAAATAGAGCAACTCTGTCAAGACCAGATTTAATGACGAATTGAACCGATGTATAAGGAGTATCAACTGCTTAAGCATTGTTTATAAGGAAAAAATTTTTCTGACCATTGGAATGTTTGTCTTCTTTACATTTACATGATGGAGTCAATTGTAGCACTCGTGTTTTCGTGAAGTTAATGGCAGAAACGCTGAACGCCCCTGTGGCATCATCAGCCACGAGTGCCGTATTTTTAAAGGCAGAATCAACAGTAGCTACTTGACAAGCATAGTCAGTATATGCACTATTGTTTTACTTGTTACTCATTTATTAGTGTAT